GTCCTTGGACGTGTTGGACGGGGTCCTGGGCAACCTGATCTGAATGTGGATGTTTGGTGGCCCTGCTAGGCAGGGGGGTTGGAACTACATGATCCTTGTGGTCCCTTCCAACCCAGGTGATTCTGTGATTCTGTGATCTGTGATTTGTGTGGAACTTTCTACGCTGCAGTTTCTGGCCGTTTCCTCTTGTCCTGTCTCCACATATTGCTGAAAAAAGTCTGGCCTCGCCACTCTGCACCCCACACCTTATAGACCTTGATCAGGTCCCCTCTCAGTTGTCTTTTCTCAAGGCTAAACAGATCCAGTTCACTTAGCCTTTTTTCATAGGGCAGATGTTACAGGCCCTTCACCATTTTGTGGCCCTCTGCTCTTTTGTCATGGTTTTATGTTTTTGTTTCTTCGGGTTTCACTATTCCACATCAAAACATCATGTAGTGCACTGGGCATTAAAGTGTTACTGCCCCAATTCCAGGTACCTATCCCTGTACGTTACAGAAGTCATGGGATCTGACCTTTCTGGCTGGGGCGCTCTCTTACTGCCTGGCAGTGAGTGCTGGAAGGTGCTTTCCTAGCCGCTCCAAGCTTTTCAGGTTTGACTCGGTCCCAGGAACTCTCTCTCTCCCATCCTGTCTGAGTTATTAGTCTCAATTTCAATTTAATTGTATTATATTGTGTTATCTTCTATTCCGGTAACATAGTAAAGTAAGTTTTCCTCCATAGATTGTTGCCACTGTTCTTTTCCTCCCTTCCTTCCTTCCTTCCCATTTTGTGTGGCTGGGGTGGGGGGGGAACAGCTGGGGCCTACTGCCCCCCTGGTCATGGGCATAAATTGATCTAGTGAACTCCGTGACATCTTCCCAAGAGATCCCTGTCTTTTTTGTACTGGGGAGCCCAGAACTGGACGCAGTGCTCCAGATGAGGTCTTACCAGGGCAGAGTAGAGGGGGAGGATCACCTCCCTCAACCTGCTGGCCACACTCTTTCTAATGCACCCCAGGATGCCATTGGCCCTTTTGGCCACGAAGGCACACTGCTGGCTCATGGCCAACCTGTCGTCCACCAGGACACCCAATCAAGACACCCTCTCTGCAGAGCTCCTCTCCAGCAGCTCATCCCCCAACCTGTACTGGTGCATGCAATTATTCCTCCCCAGATGCAAGACTCTTCACTTGCTTTTGTTAAACCTCATCCGGTTTCTTACTGCCCAGCTCTCCAGTAAGAAACCAGGTGAGGTTTAACATAATTATAACCCTGTCAGCTTAGAATATTTGTTGTTTATTGTTTTTAAAATAATTAAAATAGCTCTGTACTAAAATTATACAATCAAGATACAACATTTACAATAGGCTTCCTAACTTCATCTGTTATTATTCTTCTATCTTAATTAATTGCACATTTTGGGTAGATATCACCCTTGCTGTAAAGTTAGCATATTTTGCATGCTGTACTTACTAAGAGAAGTAATAATTTGTCCTAATACAAACAATCAATACTAATTCTGCTTTTATTTTATATTTACACGTGCCCTGAAAGAGGATAAACTTCTGCAACAGTGTAAGTGGAGACCTCCCATAGCTGGTGATGACTGATAAGTGACAGCTGTAATAACAGGTCAGTACTAAAGCATATTACAGAAATCAGCACTAACAAACAGGAGCCTCTCACTGACTGACAAGCATAACGATATCTTTACTACTAAAAACTTTATTAACTTAAGATAGTATGCAATATGTTGTTTAGATCATTCCGTTTAATCACAGTAACAATCTGTAGACGTATATAGAAAAAAAAAGATTGAAAGATGATTTACATTTCACTATTAATAATGCAATTCAATTTTCTAGTCAGACTCGTAACCACATAGCTGCATTCATTCATGATAACCAACAGTAAAGCAAGGGGATTCATCTTTCATCAAGTTGCAACATCTAAATTAATTTCAGATAGATAACCAGCTAAGTTAAATCACCTCTTGTTCAACATAATCTCATTCTATGTGCATTCACATCCAAATGTGTTGTTTATATTGTTTCTCTCTCTAAAATTGCTTAGTTATTTATCTGCCTAAAATCTGACATAGGTAAGTCTTATAGTCTGAAGGCCTTTCTACTTTGGGAGAAAAAAAATTCATTTTGAGGAAGTAGAGGACTAATTCGATGCACGAGGCAAGGACACCATGGGAAGAAACAATTAAATCAGTGGAAATAAAACAACTGAAGAAAATGTTACAAATATTCTTCATGCTCACTAGGTGTATTTTGTTGCTTAGTATATAGAAGGATTTTTTTTTAAGTGGTCAAAAGAAAATTGAATTTTTACGTTTCATTCATCCAATACATAGTTTACAACACATACCAATTTCACATATTGGACTTTTAACTTAAAACTTTTTTTTTTTTTTTTTTAACTGCAGCCAAATACATTAGAAAAATCTAACATAACTTACTATAAAAAGATAATGACTTCATCAGTGATGGTGAATAACAACAAAACAAATGAAGCTCCCTGTTGCATGCAGTAACAAAACTATTACCTCAGTGACAAGAGTAAACAAAGCTAACGATGGCCTTATGCCGTAATAAGTAATGCTTCCCTTATTTGTATATCCTTTCTCTTTAGGTGAAAATTCTCCTAGCTAATTCAATATTAGGAAATATTTGCTGAAAATTCTGATAGCAAACCAGACTAGATACATGCTATTTTAATGTCTCCAATAAATGCTCTATGTAAGAATGAAAAATGGAATAATGGTGAAGATCAAATGAGGATCATGAGAGAAATGAGATCCAGTTTTCTAAAGGGCAATCCAAATGAAGTATTGCATTGGTCTATTTTTCATAGTGAATTTCAAACAGACCTGATGTTTTAATATTGCAGTCTAAACTGAATCTTTTATGTTTCAACTGATCCGTGAAAATTTCAGATCACTATAAGTATCCAGATCCTAAAATGATAAAACCTAAAACCTGTGGCCCACCAAAACAGCAAGAAATCCACTTCTGATGTATTCTTATGTCTTGCACAATAGAACCATACAAAATAAACAGTACCTTAAAAAATAAATGAATAAACAAACAGAAGATAATATTTCAGTGTTAAAAATACAATTTAATCATTGTGATTCAATTAGCATTATTTTTAATATTCATAAAAGTAAGTTAATATTGAAGCACAGAAGGTACTCAATCTAAAAGAGGCTGTTTTTTTTATACATGAAGCAAGACAAAGTTGTTGCTTAAAGAACAAACCTCAGATTTTGTTAAATCTTGTAAATTTGACACAAAAGAACTGAATTGTTTTAATTTGTTAAATATACCACAGATTTTTGTTTTGTTCAAGTAATTTCAGGATATTCAACTTTTACTGGACATATTTAAATTTCGTTTGATTTCAAATTCAAATAAACATTTTATGACTGACTTTTGCTGTTATAGCAAAAAACAGAACTTATGATATGCAAAATACTAAACTTCATACTTTCTTAAATGAATAAGGAGAAAACTAGCATGAATAAGTAATATTTGTATTTAAATGCATTTAAATACAATTAAATTAAAATTTTTAGAAAAGAACAATGCGTTTAAAACAACTATAAAAACATACAAATATCATTGGTACCTAAATATTCAAAGTAATATCACTTTTCAAAATTAATTTGATCTTGATCTGCTTCTTACTTGTGGCCACAGAATAATACTCTTGTCCTACCTTGCTTGGTAGTTACAAATCATGTGCAAAAACTGCAAGAAATATCTTTCAAATAATTAATATTTTAAAGAAAAATAAAAGTATTGATTTTATTTAAATTAAAATTCAGACATGTTTTTTTCTTATGAAAATTATTTAAAACACATGTAAATGTTACCAAACACTCTTTTTTATTTAACCGTTAAATATAAAGACAACATTCTATTGCCAGCTGAAGGCTCCTGCTATGCTACTGATACGTATGCAATTCATTCACTATGAGTCTCTGCAATTTTTATTCTCACAAAATAATACTAGATAGTTAAGGTAGTCTGAAAGTTTGTATGAAATAATACATCTACATTGTACAAATGTATATATATATATATATATATATATATATATATATATATATATATAAAAGTACCTTAAGAATCAATATCAAGATATTTTATTGAATCACTTAAGTGCTAATGTAAATGTTCATCATTATTCCAGATAAAATTTAAAAGAATACTAGATTTTACTTGTTACACTGGTTCCCAAAAATAAAGTTGCATTCATTATGGCCATGCAGTAAAGCTAGACTATGTATAAGCCAATTTTCTTAATGGGAATAAGAAAATTTGAGTAAGTGCTTAAGAGAAGAGTTGATGCTCATACTTAAATGTCCAAAACAGTATTTATCATAATTCTAACAGCACGAACCTTCCCACAGCATCATAAGATACCTCCTCAACAGGGTTTTGAAAAGTACCATGTATGAGTAAGAACAAATGTTGAAAGGAAAAAATATGCCAAAATTCTGAAAATACAAGAGTATTTTAAAATATGCTACCACACATACACTAAAGTAAAACAAAAGATAAAGAATGCAGGAAGTTATAACCAACTACTTACAAGCTATGTTATTTGATATATACATCTATTAACATGAATATTTTCAACAATATTTTTTTAATTAAAAAAAAAAAAAAGCTTTTTGAGTTCTTGTAGAAATATATTAAGCTCAGACAGACTATCATGTAAGCGTTCTCAAAATATTCACAGGTATTACATGCGTGCAAAAATATAAAATGTAAATATTTGCAACCCATCTTGGGAAATACTGTTTTGTTTTGTTTTTTTTTAAGTTTCATGCTTGTGCCTTGTTTTTTTTTTTGTTACACATTAATTTCTTGTGTCACGAGAAAGTACTGTGTAGTACTTTACTAGCATAATTTTGTTGTACTTTCTTAAACAAACATCATATCAGTCAGAAAGGACATCTTAATGACTAAGTCCCAAAGATTCACATCAGTATGAAATACTTACTGTAGCTGGGGAAGTCCGTGTTGTATGAGTCACTGAATGACCAGAATTTTCCATTGAATTGCCAATCAAATAGGTCCCTCCTGAGCTGCTAATGAGTTGTCCTCCTGTGACACCCATCTGAATCCCTCCAGTGCCCACCATGCTATGAGAGGAGACCACTGTTGTCACCTGCGCAGAACTTCCTTGAGTATCAAAATAATTTCCCCCAGTGTTTTGGCTGTACATCTGGGTTTCTGTGTAAGGATAAGTTGTTGATCGGCTTCAAGAAAAGAAAACAAAAGGAAAATAAATTATTTGTATTGTTCATTGAGCTGAGGGAAATGTTATATTTCTAGTACATATCTGCAATTGCTATAGCCAAATTAAAAAAGATTGGCAAACAATCCCTTCTCAGAGAATAATATTTCTGCAAATAAATGTACCAAGTAACTAATCCACTAAAAACATTAAAACAAGTATTCACCAAGCCTTGCAGAAAAGTTTGTCAGCCTTACCTGAAGAGGATCAAAGAAAGGAAGTATGACAACAATTAAGAAGATGGACAGGAAGAGTTCATACAATAATTAATATGGAGCAAAAATTGTAAAGCTCCACCCATTTCAACTTTTTACAATCCTACCATAAAATATAGAATTTCAATCATTCGCTATGTACTTTCCATACTAAGATGCAAAATTGCAAACAAATTATGTAAATCTCAGCCAAGAAAGCTCAGTGTTCAAGAATTCCATGTTATCTATTGATTTTAAATGTTTTTATACTTCTCAGTTAGAGCTTGAGATTCAGAACTTAATGGTATTTTAATATGTTTATTTTTACAGGGTGAATTTAAAATTGAACATGAATTTGTGCTATGATGAAAAACTGCACTGAAGAAATAAAACCAAATGAGAATTATGTCATTTGTAAAAAGCTTACAAACATTAAAGAAGGTATGCAGCAAAAACGTTTTAAAAATTATTTTTGAGCATGAAATATTCATGGCCCATTAATGAGTATACTCTTTAAACTATTCAGTCTGAAACTTTTTATCATGTTTCAAATTCTTAATCACTTATATTAAATCATTACCTTGCATGGGTTATAATCTATTCATAATTATTGAATAAGTACTCACTCCTTTGTTCACCAATTATTGAATATGTACTAGCTTTCTTCACCAAAACACATTTTAAAATTATTAACTGTATAGTAGTAATTACTTCAAAGCAAAATTCCTTATTTTTGAAAAATCTGCCTGAAAATTTCATCTTGTTCCACAGTGGCTAAGTTTTGTATTTTAGCAAGTAGGACAATAGAAATGCCAAAGAAAAGAAAATGATCAGTTTATTTAACCATTAATTTTATTTCTTAAGCATAAAAATCTGTAATGTTGCCTGTAATCAACTGACAACACTCATTAACTTGGATTTGCTTATGTTGAGATACAGTCTGTCCAAATAAATACAATTTAAATCTAGTAGGATTCTGAGAAAAGACAAGAGTTGCCAAATTTCTGCTTAAGCCTACAGTTTATTATAATCGTAGAAACCACAAAATCATGCAAAACCATGCAACTAAATATGACAAAAAATTTCTGACATTTCTATCCAAGATTACAAGAGGAGGCAGCATTCAGTATTTATACAGTTGATAGATCATTAGTACATCTGTCCAAGGCTTAGAAGTCAGTGTTTTTTTCCATTTATCTACACAAGGATTAGTTCCTTATTAAAACAGAGAAAGGTAATAGAAAATTACAGCTTGTTCTGTTTTTCTTTTTTAATTATGAAAACAATAAACAATAGACTCAGAGATAATGATCTTTTGCTTCAGAATCATTACTTTTAAGAGAAGTGAAGAACATATAGCACCTTATTAACAATCAAAGTCAGAATTTTTAGTATCGCCACAGACTTCAGAGACTTAGAGAAATTTCAAAACTTTAGATTTCAAATCCTGAAAGTTTTACAAAGCTCACTCTATTATTTCCTCTCAACCCTCTTTAAGTTAATCAAATTCTTTTTTATTTTGGGTATTGCAAAAGCTTCAAAATCAGCAGTACGAAACTTGGAAGTTAATCTACAAGAAATGCCTTGCAGACTCCTGAAAACGATGCAAAATAGTTCATTTGGGAAACATCACTAAAGTAGGCAGCTAATCTATTATTTATTTGGAAAAGTAAAACCAGTTCTTCTTTGCATTGCAGTAGCCTTTGCATATATTTAAGCATCATGCAGTCCTGATTCACCTGTTTGATCAAGCCAAGGTATCATGGTCAAACCTTGTGATAGCATTGAAATATTGCTTCCCTTGTGATGTAAAAGATAACTGCTAGCAGAGATGGTGTTACACCTGACTTGGAAACATACAATTTATTGAATTTACAGAATTTACTCCAATGCAGTAAGGGTCAGTTTAGGAAAAAGTAGTAGTGGAAGTGCAGAATAAACAGTTCAGCAAAATGCCTGTGAAGGAAGTAAGCACTGTAATTTCTCCCAAAAGAGAAATATCCTATGAGGGACCAGTACAATATGGCAATGAATGAAAGGCCAAAGGTGTTGATGATGGTAAAAACAGATACAGATAAAAGAAACAGACTGTCCACAAAGGACATAAGCAAGACATACCACACTTGTAGAAATGAAATTAAAGAAGTAGTACTTTGTACAAATGCAAAGTCTAGAAAGTGCTCAATGTTTCAGAAGAAAAGTGAGTCACTCCGTGTGGAAAGGATAGGGAAAAGCAAATATCTGTTTGCTTTTACCTTGTTCTGATCTACAAATCATGTTATGTCCCTAAATAAGGACTGATTGTATTGCAACACCTAAATCTGCTTGTAACTGCTTCTTATGACTGCACCGAGAGCGATCTTTGGGATAGATAGATGGGTTGGACTTCGAGATAAACATATTTGTTCCAACAACCAGGTTTACATCAGGTTCTTCACGTACACCTGATTATTGGAGATGATAAAGCAAATCTTCAGCAACAGAGATCAATGATGTAATTAAAAGTGAGATAAAAGTGTTATTATTACATGCAACAATAACTGCAACTCAGCAAAGAGCTCTTAAACTAACCAAAAGATGCAGGCTATACCAACCGGATGAGGTGATGCTATGGAAACCAGTAACTCATAGGTTTTAACGTCACTGAATACAACGTGAGCTTTCAACACAAAACTGTGCAAAGAGAAAAACATGATGTTATTCTCTTTAGATATACACAAAGGATAACCTGAAATAAGGAAGTTATATCCTATTTCTCCACAGCACTTGCAGCACGGATATGTAATACATCCTCAAGTAGTCTGGCATATAGTCATTTCTTGCCCATTGCAAATGTTGTCACAGCACCATCTCTTATTTTTCTGTACAGTTGCATATTTAATCTCAGCAGAAGTAAAATCTTCTGAATGTTTATGAGGATTACTTTGGTGATACACCATGACTTGAGATACGTTAGGAAACAGAATCTAACAGTTACTCCTACAGGAAGATTGTGGAATTCAGTATTAGTTAGAATGTGGCATTAGAAAGTTCATCAGAGTTCCAAATACATTAGGCTACAATGTCCTAGCTTCCAAAAGGTTGTGCAACCCAGACAGTGTTTAACTGGAGAGCATGTAGCACAAAGTCAAGATTCCACACTGGAAGTTATTGAGACTAGCATGAGCTGGACTAGGATTGCAAGGTATTATAATTCACCTGTTATACATTATTTCTTAGATTTTATTATAGCATCATAGATTGGTTTGGGTTGGAAGGAACCTTTAAGATCCTTTAAGAACCTTTAAGTAGTTCCAACTCCCCTGCTATAGGCAGGGACACCTCCTTCTAGACCAGGCTGCTCAAAGCCCCATCCAGTCTGGCCTTAAGCACCTCCAGGGAGGGGGCATTCACAACCTCACTGGGCAACCTGTTCCAGTCTCACCACTCTCACAGTAAACATTTTCTTCCTACTGTCCAGTCTAAATCTACTCTGTTCACTGGAACAGGCTGCCAGGGAGGTGGTGGAGTCTCCTTCTCTGGAGATGTTCAAGACCTGCCTGGATGCCTACCTGTGCGACCTGCTGTAGGGAACCTGCTTTGGCAGGGGGGTTGGACTCGATGATCTCTGGAGCTCCCTTCCAACCCCTACAATTCTGTGATTCTGTGATTCTGTGATATACCCTCATACTGTTGCTACATGCCCTTACAAAAAGTCCCTCCTGCCCTTTCCTGTAGGCCCCTTTCTGGTACTAGAAGGCTGCTATATGAGCCCCTTCAAGCTTTCCCTCCTCCAGGCAGAAGAGCCCTATCTCTCACTGCCTGCCCCTGCAGGGGTGGTGCTCCAGCCCTCTGATCCTCTCTGTGGGCCTTCTCTGGACCTGCTCTAACAGCTCAATGTCGTTCTTCTGCTGGAGGCCCCAGAACTGGATGCAGTACTCCAGGTGCAGTCTCATGAGAGCAGAGGGCCTCCCTCTTTAACATGACTTGCAAAACATAATGCTAGAAATAAAACACATGGAGCTGTGTTAAAATGTTGTTATCAAAAGTGTATTTTTGACACGAAAGCAGACTGATTTCTAAAGCCATTGTCTCTCTGCACTGACCTTAGAAATAAGTGTTCTGCATTTTATTTCAGACACAGACATATTACTATAAAATTTAGCTATTAAGGACAATTCTGTCCCTTCAAAAATTCTGTTACTTTGAAAAAAAAAAATTAAAAACAACAGTGAAGGAATAAATCTAGCTATCTTCTCTATCAGTTTTCAGAGGACATGTGTACACGGGAAAAAATTTCTTCCAAGCTGCATCTATTACTTGATTCTATGTATATGTCAAGACTATGATCTACTTACTAATACAAATCTGTGCTCCTGACATCCCATTATGTCTCTGTATTTACATGAATTGATCACAGCTTCACATTTTCTTTGAGCAAATAATTGATGAGACCTTTCACATTTTTGCTTAGAAAGCATCACCTATAATATTATGCCAGCTTATGTCTTAGAAATGTCTACCTTGCTGAAGGATTTTTTTTCCCATTACTCTTCATCTTAGTAAAAAAAAAAACAAAAACATAACAAAAACAACAAACATTTATTTCTTTTCCCAGGATTTGGTTAGAATATCAGATAAGTTAACTCATGTATACTTAGCATATTAAATTAGTTTTCAATTTGATGTATACCAGTAACTTCTGTGTTTTGCAAAATAAGTAATTAGGAAGTGCTCTCTTATTATCAACTATAGACACCAACTGGCAAAACAAAACAAAACAAAAAAA